GCTTACTAACTTAAAAGACAAGGCCAGAAGGATTTTATCAATATATCCCTACGCTGCAATAATTATATACGATTCATGGATCATTTAATGATATTAAAAAGTGATGTACAAGAGTTTGTTTTCTAGTTTCCACAACCTTTCTATTTGCTATCCTTTACTAATTGAACACTTTTTTCAACTTCCGTGTTGCTTTATAAAGTAGTGTGTTGCTCGATCTTGGCTCATGTTACTCTTATAGCAGCAGCAAAATGCATCTAAGGAGACAGAAAAACTAATTGCAGAAGCACAAAAATGGACCAAGGCAAAGTATGTTAAATCTAATTACGCAAAGCAAAGTAAAAACAGGTCCTTAGAAACAGCACACGCAAAGTTTTGCCCAAGGAGTCTTAAAACCGAAATCACTGTCGAAGTAAAGCCAAAATTCATAATGAAACATGAAAATTTTTCTGTTCAAAATCAGATTTTCATAAAATGCCCTTTATAATGTCAAAATCTAAATACTTGGTTTCTAAAGAATCGCTTATCCAAAATTATGATTTGTTCGAATTTTTCATGAATTCAATTTCATAATATTTATCACTTTACAAGGTATCTTAGAGGTTTGCCTTGTCAAAAACAAAAATGATATTACACAGGAAGGCATATTTTCACCTGCAACAATCTAAAACCATCGGCTGCAAGGGTCTAAAATTCCGTAAACAATGTAAATCAAATATTACCTATGTTACATGCGTATTCCTTGCGAGGATCACAAGTACAATTGAATGATTAGAATTCTGAGACTTTTTTCTTGAATATTTGCAAAGCTGGGGATTATTTCATTTCGTTTGAAACTGAGTTAACAACAGATTATATAGAATGATCAAGAAATAGAATTTCATTTGCATTTCATGAAGCGTCTTTATCAAAACATATTCAGAAAATATATTTTGCACAAGTTGTTAAAGCAGTTTATGTACAGCAAGTGATTTGGAGCATTCTATAACAAATATCTATTAAACAATTGATTATCAAGGCAAGTCTTCTAGCATTTGGATTACGTCATCTAAGTCGTATTCCACATTCTGAAAAAATGAAATCACTTGATGGTCAGTGGTAAGAATGCTCAAAGATTGTATGAGGTGAGCGGTTTTCTTCCAGTATAAAGTAAAAAGACAAAATTTTCTAGCTTTGTGATAATAAAAAATGCGTTAGCAAATGCGTTTTTTTTACATTATTTTGTATAGTTTTACTCCATAAAAAGTATTCACTTGGAATTCAGGGCTTTCAAATTATTCCCAAAGAATTCACAAAATAAAGAACTAATGTTCCAAAATCTTTTTAAAATTTTGAGAATATTCTGGCTTGAAGACGTGACAAATCTTAAATAGTTTTGCTGGCAGAATAGAAAAATCTGAACTGGTTAAAAATTGAGAAGAACTTCTTCTAGATCAGGAATTCTTATGGACAAGGAATTTGTAACATATATAACTTTCATCAAAAGTTACTGAAATTTTTATACAATCGTTAGTGTTAGTTCTTGATGCTCCTCTACCTGTCTACACCTGCAATGGACAGGGAGCATAACATTTCATTTTCTTACATTCTATTCTATCGGAGATCCTTTCCAATATTTTTCAGACAACCGGAGACTTTTTACCCGGAAAAGCTAATTTTTCGTAAATGATGCATTTTTATTTTCCCGCCATTTTCACAGTTGACGAATTGCGTCAGCTTTTACTCGGCCATAGCAGTGAACATCAGTATACGTGAGCTTTTCATCGATCCTCAAGCCTTTAAAATTAATATACAAAGTACCTGAGCGCAAAGAAATTGTTCAATTGTAGTTATTTTAAGAGAATGGTGGGCTGCATTTTCTCTCAGTGGAATTTAGTGATTTATTTTGTCGTTAACACAAACATCAATGCCGACAAGAAAATATTTTAACATTGGCTTGTGAAGGTAAGTTCATATTTGTTAATTATGTGGATAAACCAACTTTTAAGGTTTAAATACTGTAATTTTTCTGTTCTCCCTCTCCCTAAATCCTTCGTAACTAATGATCGCGGAAAAAATGTTTGTTGAGTACAACGGCAGTTTTTCCATGAATTCATGAAAGATTCAATTCTTTAAAGAAAATTTAGATTATCTTTCAGCACATTTTACACCATTATTTTTTGCAGATAGTGGTAAAAACATCAAAAATTGGCCTAAATGTAGCTGCACGTTATTTTATCTTTGTTCTGACGATTTACACTCCGAAGAGTGTTAAACGAAAAGCTTTAGTATGTTTCATATAGTTTGCTTTTTTCAAAGCCACTTCCACATGCCATAAAAGACTCTGCAAAGAACATACATACGGAATGATCGTTATATAACATGAAATCTACCAATAACGATACTTTACACGAACCATTCTGTTTGAAATTCGTAAATCTCAAGCTCACATACTTGAAGATATTCTTGCCTGTTCAAGAACACAGTCACATACCGACCAAGCAAAAAAAGCCTCGGACAATCAAACTTTTTCAATTCACCGATTGCCAACCTTCCATCTTTTACGCAAAGCGCATTGTTTCATCCGCCACTTAATCTAGCATCTCCAACACTGATATCGAATGGATTGATTCTTTCTTGACCCCAAGTTGCGCCACTTTTTATTTGGACACTTGTGACAGCAGCTTGCCTTTTTAGGTCCACATGCCACCAGGGTACTATGTCAGCTTTTGTGATACTGCATCGCTGCCAGTTCCCAGTTTTGTTACCGTCATTTCCAAAGCTGGCAACAAATGCAATTCCATCATATTTATGAGCGGATGAATGCAAGGACGGCTTCTTACAAGCTATATTTCCTTGAACGCCTGGAATTTAGGATAAATCAAAGGATTTTATTAGAAATAAAACATCTTGCGGAATGCTACATTTTCTTATTTACTGTCAAATTGCAACACAATAATGCAAGGATCATACAACGAGGAGCAAAAGTCAATGACTACTCTAGGGCCATTACATGGGAACATACACTGCTAACCCATGCATAAATAAGATTGATTAAGGTAAAATAGCAAAGAAGATATGCAAAATAAAATAATTTAGAATGTGATGTAGAGAGGAGGGGTGTTTACAACCCCAATTGTGGCTTAACAGAAAGTTTAGGAAAAGTCCGTTCAGTGAATGAAACGATTTTGTAATTCAGAGACATTCAAGTACTAAAATCAGTAAAAAGTCAGGCATTTCTGACAGCTTGGTTGGTTAAATATGCTTTTTCTGACAGAATACAAAAATCAAGCACTCCTTTAGTAAAAGTGTGTCTTGTGTTGATCTTCATTAATTTCTTTCGGAAGAAGCATCAATTACAATTCATAATTAGTAGAGATCTTTTTACACTCATTAAAGGATTCAATAACCAGTTATTGATTACTAACTAGAGCTGTTTATTACTTGGCTTTGGAAATAACAACTCATACCTCTTCTTGCCTGTTTCTTAGACCATATAACGAAGTTTGATCTCTCGGTCGGGATATCTTGCTCATCTCTAAATTTATAAAATATGTGGTTCTTGATATCCTTAACAACGTAACGACAGGTGTTCTCAAGGCTGCATTGATGAAAGGTCTTATGCAACATGCTTGTCGTTATTTGAGTTGGGTTGTGCACTTCTTCGAAAGCAGATTTGCTTGTACTTTGATTCTCGTCTGACTATATTTAAGCAAAGCAGAAAATATTGAGAAGCAAGGTCACGAGCATGAAAGGTCCCATTTGGACAATAGATTGATTGAAATCTTTCCTATGAAACAAATGAAATTGCTATTTACTTTAACTGTGAAAAATGTACTCACCTTCTTTTTAAATCATATAAAAATGCTGCGAAACTGTAGTCTTATTTAAAGATCTTACATACTTTTATCAATAACTTTTTAACTCAAAGATAAGACTTTTGGAAAACTAAATGCAGTACACGTTATAGAGATGCTCGAATCTTTTTGTAATGTGGATTATGGATTAGAAATGTTCTCAAGGTTGATCGAAAGGGGAGATCTGTGTTGGTACTTAAGGCATAGGTATTTAGGAGAAAATTATGTAGGTCGTGACTTTCTTATCTAAACAGATGAGTCTCGAGCGTTTACCATTTTTTGGTGCCTTGTTTCTAAGCTAAGAACTAAGCCCAAACTTGTAGGTGTTTGGAGAGAAGTCGGCATTGTTTGGCATTGCTATTGACCCTTGAGAATATCAAATTACCAAAAATTCTGTAACAAGGCCTCGTCTCTCACCTGGTCATGACCTCTGTCAGCTAAGTTCTTCGCTATTACCCATGCGACATTTTGTTGCAGAGCTCGAAATGATCGAAGCTTAAAAATGCTTACTCGTGCAATCTGAACCTAATAAGCCCATTTGAAGTAAACTTTGCGAAGAAAAAATACCTGATTTTAAGTCAAAGGAAATGGATGGGTAAGCACAGTCAAAAGGATTAGATTTTGATTATCGATTAACCGGAAAAGGGATGAATGCATTCTTCAAATTTCCGAATAGTCGGAATGGGGAACATTAGACTAAAAATAAACGTTACTTTTAAATTGTTGAATTTTTTGTACGATTGTCTCTGTTTCTGTCCAACCCAGCAATACTTTTCTCCTCTTTATGTTAAATTATTTGCGCAAAGAAAAGATGCGAATCTAAAAATAAAGAGCCATTCAGGCCGCACATCATTTGATTAGGGATTTTGCTGTTTGTTAAGCTAAACAATTGAATTATTCCTCCTGCATAATTAATGCAACTCCTTCGTATTCTTCTAATTTGTCCATTGGCAATGAATCCAATCCCATATTACGTGAACAAGTGCAAAATATATCTAGCAAAGAATTTCTTTTAAACTCAAGTTAACATCGATAGACAGGAGACCACTTTCTGGAAAAGTTTCAAAGCTATTAAAGGTTGCTTAATTCTACCCAACTGTATACAATTATGCCTTACGATAGGCAAGCAGGCGTCTTGTAAGAGTGCAGGGATGAAAATGGGGAAGTGGAAGATGGAAAAGGATACTTGCCCCCTATCAAACAACTTTCCAGAAATAATTCTACACTTTGTCAATGATTACTAATTACGCTTCCAAAAGGGTCTTTCCTAAATTTTGTCCTGAAAAGATACGACAATAATCCTAGAAACTTTTCAAATAAACACAATTTTTTGGTTAACTCACAAGAGCAATTTCTTTTTCAGTACATGAAATTCAGAATATGTTTCTGTTGAATTTGAAAGAATTTTTGTTACAAAAAAATATTGCAAAAGCTTGGTGCAGGAAGAGAAAAAGTTCAGATCGATGGTTTGTACTTCATCCAAATACAATTCAACCCCCCCCCCCTCACCTGGGATAATGGCTTTGTAAAATAAGTGAATTCCATCTTTCCTCATTTTTCCTCCATCCCTTAAACCTAATTTTTATCACAATAATTTCCTTTTAATTAGATTTAAAAATTTGACATTTGTAAAACTTTCTTTTATATAAATTGAATAGAAAAAAATCTGAAGGCTAAAAAAGCAATAAGATTTCAATAAACGATTGAACAAAATTTAATCGAAGTCTCTGTTAGTGTGATCGCTTGAAAGTGCTGATAAAGCCTTAGGGTTTTGAAGATATGATTTAATATTTTTTTTCTTTGATTATATAAACAAAATAAAGTTCAACAACAGTTAATACGCAAAACATAAATCAATGCATTTCAATACAAAAATATTCATCATCAACTGTTTACACATAAGATTATCAAGAAACAGACTTCGATTGGATTTAAAAGTGCCTATTTATTTAAACTTCTTCAAAATTTGGAAGTTGCGCAATTTAATAAATCAATCGATTTGCAGCAAATGACTAGATGCAATTAGAATCTTAAATAACAACAGATCCTTCCAGTTACTAAAGCAAAACTCTTATTTTAATGTATGTTTGTGTTATTATATTCTTATTATTCTAAGCAACAAGAACTTCTGCAGGTTGATTTAGTAATTAAATTTCGGCAAAAATATTAAGGAATTGCATCTGAAAAATCTTTAATAACAACAGTGTTTTCAACAGTGTTAAACAAATGCAAATTTTATGAATTTAATGATAAATTCCGATGTTGTCACACCTTAAAAACAGATTCCAATTTCAATTAATGGCAATTTTAGAATCAATTGATGGTCAGTGCAAAGTGTGTTTAAAGTTGGTAAGAAGCGAGCTGTTTTCTTCCAGCATAAGGTTAAAAGACAAAGTTGTCTGGTTTCCCAATCAAAGAAGATGCATTTTCAAATGTATGTCTTGATTTTGAAATGTTATATTGTAGATGTTTTTCTATCTGTTCATCCACAAAAGTCAACTTATTTTACGTGTTTGTCCTTTTCTTGATTCCCGGCGTTGCTCCATTCGCTTGTTTTAAACATTGTATTTCTTTCTTTCCCCTTAATCTACTTTTCAATTTAAAGCAATTTATATTTATGTTTTTAATTTATAGCAAAGGTTGTGTCGAAGTAGATCTAAACTCTGTTAGCCTGTAGAGAATATGTTGTCTTGAAAGTGTAACAGCTTTGTTAAAGTTTTGCTTGTGAAAACAATAAAACGTATTAGGCTTAGGTTCCGAAGTACGTTCCTCCGGATGATTAAAAGTAGTTCAGCATTCTAACGGAAGATTTTTCTTGTGACAAACAATTTTATCTAAGATGATACTTATAAATAATTTCTGTAAGCTTTTTTTTGATTCATGAAACTTTATCATCAAAATTTTTTATGCTTATAAACAACTATTGTTGCTAGGTTTGATGGGCTTCTTTATGTGTATATCTTTAATGGACAAAGAGATTTTCTAATTGCTTTTGTAGAAAACGGCTAGTAAAAAGTAAGCCTTGATTCAGTACTAATATTTTTTAGTCTGTTGCTGCTTGTGATTTCTGTAAATATAAATGGAGAAATACTTCGTCTGCCATGCAAGATCTTTGCCAATTTTACTGCTGTGCTTCATGATCATTCACTTAGTTCTACATTTCGTTCTTTGGACAACTTGGATGAGCAGATGTGTAAGTTTGAATGCATCATGGAGCATCGATGCAAGTCTATAAATTTAAACAGAGAGTTGGGTATTTGCCAGTTGAATAGCAAATCAGCACAGGATCCAAAAGATTTCATTGAAACGCAAAAAAAGGAGGGTTGGACATATTATTCAACCCGTTTTGAAGAGAAAAATGTGAGTTTTCTATTGAAATACCTATTTAAAATTCAACTAACTTTATAAATTTAAAAACTAATTTGGTGACAGAAAATTGCGAAAAGGGCACATATAAAAATTAGTTGAAAAGAGAGAAGAAGGAAGAACAACAAGTCATTGATCAAGATGAGCGTCAAACACATCTTTCAATCTTTATCTTTTTAGCTCTGCAAAAAACATGGCCTTAAACAACAAGAGCTTTATTCTCGTAAATTTCAAGACTAATATAGCACTCGTGATATGATGTGATAGGGCTAAAAATTGATCATTCATGAAATAAAACTTTTACATTGCAGGTTGGTCAGTATTGCCAAGCAAATGATCCTTGCAGCGCCGGACATAAATGCATTGACACTTGCTACTGCCCAGGGTATAAATGCATTGGTAAATACAATAGTAACTACATTGGTATCAAGCTCTTTTACTTGAGTCAAAGTAGGCATCTTTCAAGGTACAAAGCCTTTGTTTAGTATTGTGCATAAGAAGAGTTCTTGTTACAATTTCTTTCTGTAAATTATCTTCCACCCACAGCAAAGAATATCGCCTATAAGAAGCCATCTTCCCATTCATCAACCCGTACATATGACGGAACAGAATATGTGGCAAGCTTTGGAAATGATGGTGACAGAACGGCAGAGTGGCAGAGATGTAGTTTAACCAGTTATGAAGAGCAGCCCTGGTGGCAAGTGGATCTTAAAGAAATAGCCGCTGTCACACATGTTCGGATAACAAATTCTGTAGCCAGGCCCACATATGATATAAACCCATTCAATGTTAGCGTTGGGGAGGATAGTTCAAACGGGGGAAGAAACAATGCGCTTTGTGTCAATAATGGAATGTTGGCTAGCGGCGAGATGAAAACTTTTTATTGTCCAAAGCTGACGATGGGTCGCTACGTGAGTGTGTTTTTGAACAGGAAAGAATTTCTTCAAGTATGCGAGCTTGAGGTTTATGAAGGTATATGTTTGTTTTCAATATTTTAGCTTTCTTTCCCTGGCTTTTGGTCAAGTGGTTCATATGGACAATGGAATATCACCTAATTTGTTGTAAAAATACAAAGCTCCATCTATTTCTCATCACCCAAATTGTACAGACAAAGTCTGAATGAAGAGATAATTTTTTTCTTTTTCACAGGTTTTTGTATTGGCCTAATTCTGACCATTAAATAAGTTGCAGTTAAAATAAGATGAAGTCTAAACGTGAAATTATTATCCAAACTAAATGCCAAATTGGAAAAAAAGATAATGTGACGAAAATATCTCATTGATTGATTGGCTTTATGCTTGACAATATTGATTGACAATAATCTTTTACACATGGTTGAGAATGTACGTTTTACAATTGGTCTTAAAAAAAGTGTCTTTAAACCAAAGCTTAAGTCAGCAAAAAGTGAAAAAATTTATCATTGGCCACTCTAAACCTAAAATGCGAGCTCAAAAAATGATAAATTTGAGTATGGCCTGCAAAACATGTATTTTGTTTTCCACGTTGACATGGTGATCTGTTGCACGTGGCAAAAACTTCACAAAATGATTTTACCAAAAAGAGGCATGGAATATATCAAATATTTATAAAGATAGAATATAATTCCTATTTTCATGTAGAGGTAGGCCCTTGTTCTGTATTTCCTAATGCTGATAAGACCGTATTCCTCTCGTGTTTTTACGCACGTCCGTTCTCTACCCTTCTTTCCGAACTCTACCCTAATCTAATCTAACACGTTGCTGCATTAACAAGTGCTGTCAGCAGAATAATAAATTTTAATAACGCGTCCATTTCGCAAAATAACCGAGAGATTAAAATACTTTATTATACTAGAGTCCAAATTCCATAACATGGAATGTGGGTTCTTTTCTATCAACAAATACCCAATGAATTTTAAACCAAATTTCAATATTCTTTATACGACCATAATTTTGTTAACAGCGGAGAATTTGGCATATAAAAAGCCGTCCTTACATTCATCATCAACCACAGCAAATGGAATCACATTTGTTGCCAGCTTTGGAAATGATGGTAACAAAACTGGAGACTGGCAGCGATGCAGTATCACAAAAACTGACATATTACCCTGGTGGCAAGTGGATCTTACAAGGCAAGCTGCGGTCGCAAGTGTCCAAATAAGAAATGGCGCTACTTGGGGTCAAGAAAAAATCAATCCATTCGATGTCAGTGTTGGGGATGATAGATCAAGTGGCGGGCGCAACAATGCGCTTTGTGTGAAAGATGGAACGTTGGCAAGTGGTGAATTGAAAAAGTTCGATTGTTCACTGGTCCTGATGGGTCGTTACGTCAGTATCTTTTTGAACAGGCAAGAAAATCTTCAAGTATGCGAGGTTGAGGTTTATGAAGGTATGAGTATTCACAGCAAAATTGACTCCTTTAATGTTGGTCAGTAAATGTAAATGTAACTTGCATCTTGCTCATTGGGCCATTACTTTTCATAAAGCAACTGATTTCTTGGCTTTAACTACTTTTGGCATTTCATCGACTAAACCAAACAGAATGGGGTCACAATAATACAAGCAAACAATGTGAAAAATGTATTAAACTGTAGAGAAACATCTAAAGAGAAAAAATGCATAGGCCAATTTGCACGGAGGTCTTTTAAGACCAAAAGCAATGTCGAAGAGAACTCTTTTTGCGAGATGGCTTCCGATGGTCCCGAAAAGGTAAGCTGTTCATGAAATAGATCTAAAAAATGATTCTAAGCGGCTTTAGTGGAGGAAATGGCAGTTTAGAGAAGATTTTATTATCAAAACCCGTTTTCTTGAAAATGGGTCCAGACATTTTGGTGTTGTAAGTCAAGGATATATAAGCCATTGACATTGTCTAGTACAACTTTTGATTGTATAGATATGTACTGTCATAGAGATGTGCTTAATGAGTATACCTCATTTAAATTTATGAGTATATTTTCTTTTATTTTTGAGACTAAGATTATTCTCAAATTACTTTTTAGCGACGAAAGGTGAAACTGATTTGCATTATAATGTTAATGTCTCTAAGGCCAAATACGTCTTTTTCAAAATATATATCGTGAAAATTACATTTGTTCTGCTTTCCAAAACACTAAAATAAACACTATATTCAATTTTTTTTAATCTTGATTCTTTGATTGTTTTTACATTATTTTTAAATTTCAGAGATTTAAATTGAGCATTAATTTTCTTATAAACCTTATTCTCAAAAAAGTGTGTAGCCTGAATATAATTCTATGTTGAATTTTCATGAAGTTAAAAAGCTAAGAGTTTCTGCACATTATTCTGTTAATAGAAATTATATTTTTGAAACAAGTAAAAAGAGGCTTGATATTTATTCTGTCATTTTGTGATATCAAAAGTTTATTTTAACATGAACTTTCCATTTTAGATGAATTCTGAAACAAAGCTTGATAAATCTATATTTATTCTCCACTTTCTGGCAAGCACGAATGCATTGGAAGAGAAATGTAATATATCTGCTACAATCAGCAAAAGAGGACATTAAAAATGCACAAAGATTTCATGTTATATGTTTGAATTTTCTGTACCGCAAAGTTTGGAAATGGCATGAAATATTGTAAACATAGCACGCTGAGGTACCTTTCGTCTGACACTCTTCACCCAAATAGACAATAGTGACAGTTTGCACTAAATCTTAACTTGCTGCATCTCGCCCTTAAAATTTTGATGGAAATGAGCCATCGTCTTTTCATCTAGGTGTTTTGGAATCAAAGCAAAAGGATCCCAGCTTGTTTCGACAGCAAAAGTTCGCTATCTCTTTTTGGCAATTCACGGTTTTTAAAAAAGCCTGTAAAACGCTTAGTCTTTCTCTTGAGCCACTGTCGATTCATACTTGGATGTAAATTTTCTGCCTACCATTGGTCATTAACACTCGTTTGTACTCTGAAAATTGTCGAACGCAAAGAACTTCAGTAAGCTATGTTTCCGATTTTTCATGGAATCTTCAAAATTTAGCAAAAAGTGACAATTATCGTATTTTAGGGTTTTTTATCTATTAAGTACTATCTATTAATTATGAACAGTGGGGGCGAAGGCTGAAAAATATTTTTGGCTTGTGACTTGTGCTCAATTTAAGAAATTTAAATTACAAAAAATCAACTTTTTCCCTGAAAGATTATTTACAAAGACTTGATGTTTTCTTTAAGCTTTAAGAGCTGTCAGCAAAATTTTTGACAGGAAAAATCAGAAAAAAGATCAGAAACATAAATTATGCAAAGTGACTTTATTGTTTTGATTTGGCTATATATAGCAAAGCAAAGACCACTGTATCGTGTTATTAAGTGACATGAATGAGAGTCTTGTTATTTGACTTATGATATTATAGTCTCTTTGATCTTCAGAAAATCTAATTCGAGTTCAGAAATGATAATACAGAAGGATTTTGAACGCTGCAATAGTTATACTCGTAACGTGGAACATAAAATGATATTAAAGAGTGATGCAAAAGAGTTTTCTATTTTCTCTCCATTACTAATGTAACACTTTGTTCTATATTACTATAAATAGTTATTTGCTCGATCTTGGCACATTCTACACTGATGGCAACAGCAAAATGCATCTAGAGAGCTGGTGAAACTAAATACAGATGCACACAAATGGACCAACGCAAAGTATGTTGGGTCTAATTATGCAATGCAAAGTAAATACCCGTTCCAACAAACAGCACACACACTTGTGCCACAAAACATCTAATGTAAATTCTGTGCTAGTTCATAAGGCGTCAAACTATTGCCCAAGGAGCCTTAAAAGCAAAATCATTTTCGAAGTAAAATTCATAATGGAACATGAACAGTTTTTTGTTCAAAATCAGACTTGCATGTAATGCTCTTTGTAACGTCAAATTCCAAATTCTTAGTTTCTAGAGACTCGTCTATCCAAAATTATGACCGAATATATAGTCCGAATTTTTCATGCATTTAATTTTCAATTTTTCACTTTACAACGTATCTCAGAATTTTACCATGCCAAAAAACTGAAATGGTATTTGGAAACCGTACTAATACATCATAGAAATGTAAGAGCAACGGCTCATTTGTCTCGGCAAGGCTTGCTCTTGTCAAAAGTGGTCTCGTTTCGGACAACAGAGCCCGTTCCACCGAAAATTGGGATGCGAAAAGGGAGGTAAATTGAGGTAAATTTTAGTTAGACTATCTTAGTTCCTTATTTTATCTTGATAAAATTCATTCTTTATATTTGCTGCTTTGAAAATTTAACAAAGTGACAAATATGACCATTTCAAGAAATCATTAAACTTTTTTTTCAATTTTGATAATGTAAACAATATATTTTTCCAGTTTAACTCATCAGTAAATTGACAAAATATTAATAAGTTCAGTTCAATCAAAGTCTTCAATGTTTGTTCAATAAAAAGCTTGTACAGAATGATCAATAAATAAAATTTTATTCTATTTTATGAAGCGCATTTATCAAAACTTCTTCAGAAAAAAATATTATGCGATGGTTGATAAAGCAATTGATGTGCAGCAAGTGATTTGGAGCATTTTATAAGAAATATCTAATAAAAAACAGTTTATACAGTTAATTGAAGAAATATATTTTATATGCATATTAATCTTATCATTATTTATTTTAAAATCTCTGAATAATAATTGCTTTTGCAGGATGTTAAAGCAATAAGTTTGCAGCAAAAATTGTTGTTATTAAAATATCTTAAATAGCAACAGTTCTGCAAGTTATTAAATCAATTCATTTTCAATAAATTGTTAAACACTTTATTGCCTTAATATTCTAAACAAATGGAAGCAACCAAATTTATAAAGAAATTCAAATGCGGGAAGTTTCAAAACGCATTTCAAATCTAATGTATAACAACTGTTTTCGCGAGCAAATAAGCAATTGATTATCAAACCAAGTCTTTTACCATTTTGATTACGTCATCTAAGTCGTATTCTACATATTGCAAAAATGAAATCACTTGATGGTTAGTGGTAAGAATGCTCAAAGATTGTTTAGGGTGATCTGTTTTTATCCAGCATAAAGCGAAAAAAACAAAACTTTCTAGTTTTCTGATATGAAAGGAAATGCATTATCAAATGTATCTATTTTTACGTTATTTTATATCTTTTTTTATCAAAAGTATTCACTTTGTATTCAGAGTGTTCAAAAGTAATCCCAAAGAATTCACAAAGTAAAGAACTAATGTTCCGAAATATTTTTTAAAATTTTGAGAATATTGTGGCTTGAAAGCGTGACAAACCTTAAATAGTTTGCTGGCAGAATCAAAAAACCTGAACTGGTTCAAAATTCAGAAGAACTTTTTCTAGATGAGGAATTCTTATGGACAAAGAATTTGTAATATATATAACTTTCATCAAAAGTTACTGAATTCTAAATACAATCGTTATGAACCATTGCCGGGTAACATCCGCCATTAAGTCTGGGTAGCGAACTGACCTTTGGACTCTATTGCCATCAACCGTTGCGATGGTGATTTCCAATACATCAAAGCCGTAATTTCACACTCTTATCAATACTTAATTACACTGTCTATTCATTAATATCAATTTATAATGCTTTGTTTATGTCCGTTTTACAGTAGGGTATTAATGTTTGGAGACAAACGTTTGATTCACATATTGAGCCACTATTTAAAATTACAAAAAAGAGCTGTTCGAGCTATATCACATCAAGAATTCCTTGCTCATTCTCTTCCTATTTTTAAAAAAAACTTCAAATTACTTAGAATCTCAGATGTCTTTAAATTGAAACTATTGTCTTTTGCTTATGAATCAAGCATTAAGCTAACTCCAATGTATTTCCATAACTTCTTTTTCCCTAATACATCTATTCACTGTCATGGCACAAGGCAATCAACACGTGGTGATCACGTCCTCAATATGGCAAAAACTTTACAGTACGGCTTGAAATCAACTCGATATATGGGGGCAAAATTATGGAACAATCTACCTGTAGAAATAAGAACTACCTCTTCTAAATTCTTATTCAAAAAATATTTGAAAAATTATCTTCTAGAAACTATTTGAAAGTCAGTGAGCTTTGCAAAACTTCTTGTTTAGTCCATAAAGTAATTTAATTTAATTCAACGAGACATAATTATAAATGGACATATAAATCGCTGAAACAAAAGGGGGGCCGTCATCATGTTATTTAACCTACTTTGAGGCCTCTCCAGCCAAAGAAAAAAATTTTTTTTTATTGACTAAAAGTTAGCATCTGGTGCGTGTATTATGGCAAAGTTGTAGTTTTTGTAAACTTTCAATTAGTTTAGAAATTATAAGGCTTCAAAGTTGCACCTTTCCGAGAAAAAAGGACAAAAGCTGAATTAGTTTTGTTACATTCTGACGTCACAGTGTGCGGCTCTCGTTCTTCATGAATTTTGTATATCTTCCACCGAATCGTGAAGGAGTCATGGCCACGCGTTGATAACTGCATCTAAATCTACAGCAGGTGCTTTTTAGGATCGAAAAATATTAAATGTTTACAGTTATTCTAGTTATGCGGGTCGGAATGTGTCCATGCTATGTCACGACTGGTTTTGATCACCTGGGTAGGCCCACAAAGCTACGGCTTCCTGTTCCAGATCTTCCCTCGCGTATAATTAATCGAAACTGACACTTCAGTTGTTTTCCAGAAACGATGAACAACTTCAGAATTGATATCTGAGATGCTCAAACTAAAAGCCGGTGAACAGAATTGAGAATACCAACAATTGCAGTGTTCAATTTGCGACTGGTCGACGTTCGATTCGGTTTGAGCCGACTCAAAATTGCGTAACAGTGTCACCTAACCGAAAACTTTTGTCGCTTAATTCAATTCAATTATCGAAGTGCAAGAGCTTATATCTCATAAACTGTAAAAAACAAATAACGAATTCATGATCAGCAGGTTCAACTCCTTTAGATTAGCCAATAAAATGCAATTAAAAATTTTGGCTGGAGAGGCCCTTTAAGAATTCTGCTTCATGTTGTCTTTTAAACAGTGTTATTGTTGTTGTTGCATCAAATCAAATCAAATCAAATCAATCAAATCAAATCAAATCAAATCAAATCAAATCAAATCAAATCAAATCAAATCAAATCAAATCAAATCAAATCAAATCAAATCAAATCAAATCAAATCAAATCAAATCAAATCAAATCAAATCAATTCAAATCAAATCAAATCAAATCAAATCAAATCAAATCAAATCAAATCAAATCAAATCAAAATCAAAATCAAATCAAATCAAAATCAAAATCAAATCAAATCAAATCAAATCAAAATCAAATCAAATCAAATCAAATCAAATCAAATCAAATCAATCAAAATCAAATAAATCAAATCAAATGAGACACAATGTGTTTTAAGTACTTTGGACTGCCCATAAGCAACATATAAGACTGAATGCATCATGGAGCATCGATGCAAATCTTTTAACATTGAAAGAATATTTGGGTATTTGCCAGTGGAATAAAAAACAGTATAGGATCTCAAAGATTCTCCAAGTTTTGATGACGTAAAAGAGAAAAAAGTGCGCAAATGTTGTAAAATTAATGCAAAGAACGAAAGATATGAAAATTATTTGATATATTTTCTGACGATTTTTACTCTGAAGACTGTTAAACGTTTTACTCTGAATAAGTGCATGTTTCATAATGTTTGCTTTTTTCAGAGCCACTTTTAAGCTATCGTGTCATTATGGACTCTTTGTAGAACATATATATATATATGGAATAATCATTGCAAGGCATAAAATTTACCAATAACGATACTTTACACGAACAACTCCGTTTGAAGTTCGTAAACCTCAAGCTCACATACTTGAAGATATTCTTGCCTGTTCAAGAATACAGTCACATACCGACCAAGCAAAAAAAGCCTTGGACAATCAAACTTTTTCAATTCACCACTTGCCAACGTTCCATTATCTACGCAAAGCGCATTGTTTCGTCCGCCACTTGATCTATCATCCCCAACACTGATATCAAATGGACTGATTTTCAATTGACCCCAAGTTGTGCCACTTTTTATTTGGATACTTGTGACAGCAGCTTGCCTTGTAAGGTCCACTTGCCACCAGGGTACTATGTCATTATTTGTGATACTGCATCGCTGCCAGGCCCCAGTTTTGTTACCGTCATTTCCAAAGCTGGCAACAAATGTAATTCCACCATATTCATTGGCATGTGAATGCGAGGACGGTTTCTTATAAGCGATATTTCCTTGAATGCCTGGAATTGAATTCAAATCAAAGGATTTCATCTCAATCACAAAAACCACTTTCATCAAACTGAATCTCTAAAGAGTAGCAAAATGCTACATAATTTATTCAAGCTCTCTTATTGCATTTTATTTTTATAAAGACATCTTGGAAAATACTATATTTTTTTGTTCATCTAAAAGATTACATCATTTTCTAGTATACTTTTAAGTTGCAAAACAATAATACAAGGCCTGGTTGGCTACTTATGTTATTCCCCATGAGGTTAACAAACATAAGCGTCAATGATTTCAAGATTTCTGACTGAATACAGAATCCAAGCACTCCTTGGGTAAAATTGTGATTTGGGTTGATCTTCGCTAAGTTTTTGTGAAGAAGCATCAATTACATTTCATAATGATTGGAGATATTTTCTACACGAATAAAAGGATTTACTAACCAGTTATTGATTACTAACTAGAGCTGCTGATTACATGGCTTTGGAAATAACAACTCATACCTCTTCTTGCTTGTTTCTTAGACCATATAACGAAGTTTGATCTCTCGGTCGGAATATATTCATCATCATACAAAAATATTCATCATCAACTGTTTACACATAAGATTATCAAGAAACAGACTTCGATTGGATTTAAAAGTGCCTATTTATGAATTGGAACTTCTTCAAAAATTGGAAGTTGCGCAATTTAATAAATCAATCGATTTGCAGCAAATGACTAGATGCAATTAGAATCTTAAATAACAACAGATCCTTCCAGTTACTAAAGCAAAACTCTTATTTTAATGCAATTCGCAATTTATTCCATAATCTGGAACGCAGAAAATATATACTTTCTAAACTATATGTGGGTTTTCGTATTTATTTCTCATTTCTTAGAAGATAATTAACCTTTCTTTAATATAAATTTTGCTCATAAAGCTTGGGTTGAGATGTAATTCTGTCTTTTAAACTTCAGTCAATAGTAACTGCCGATTTAATATGTCAACAGAACAGACAATGTTTTTTTGTAGTAGTTTTTGAATCCGAACCAATTCTTTAGATGCGATTTGCAAGGCTTCCTTCTGGATGTGCTACATTTTATTATTCAATTTTCTTCCACAGAAGATCCAAACACAAAAGCAATTATCGAATAGGGATAAAAAAGATCCTCATGTATTGTTGTAGTTTTTCAGAGTCCAGGTATAGTGCGTAAATTTGTTGCATAGATTATATAAGCGTGGTTTAAATGACAGAGCTTAATCTAACTAGTGTCCCGTATCTTACCCTAGTGTTGCCTAGTGTCTCCTAGTGTCACACAATGTTGTCGGAGTTTGATAAATCTGCTGCTCCCTCTGCAAAACGGAAGCCATGGAAAAAATCATTACAGTTTTTAGTCAACTTACAGGCCTACATATCTACATCTTCGGTCGCTTAGCAAAAGACTAAACGCGATGAATATTATTCTAGTAAACTTCGTTGAAGGAAAACCTTTGAACTCATTTTGAGTTTAAAAACATCAACAGTCGCACAGGAGATGCCTTTAGGATATTCATTCAAAACCATAAGATTTTCAAATAACACTGTGCATTCGCGTTGCATTGCGGTGTTTCTTATTTGCTACACTACCAAGCTTTCTTGCTTCCTTTTCAACTGCGGGTGATAATTTCTGTATGTATCCTTAAATGGTTATGGAGAAATTGATTGGGAATGACATTGCCATCAAATCTGAAGCAGGTAACCTTTAATAGCAACTTTAAAGATATTGATAGATTAATGTGTATGCTTAAAATCAGCTGCGTGTCGTAGTATTCTATCAATTAAACTCGAAATAAGTTACAATTCGGCCACCGATGTGGTTCTTTAAAAATACAATGCAGCAAAGAATTTGTGGGTTCCTGGTTTGAAGTATTCAATTCAAAATGGAATATTGGAAATGACAACTTGTAGGAAATGCAGGGTCATCTTTCTGAAGTAGAAGCAGGGTCATCAAGGGTGCGATGATGCAACTGAAATGATAATTTTCTAAAGCCTTGTCCCTGCCCAAACAAATCAAACAAGGGCACAAAACATCATACAATATTGTTTGATAGAACATGCTTTATCGGTGTAGCCATCATGTTTTATTGTGTTCGGAGATGTTTAACAATGTTTGCAGGGGCGTAAATAACGGGGGCGGGGGTTCGGGTTCTGTCACCGAATCTTCGACAATCTCAATTTGGGTTGTGACACTCAATCTTCGACTGTTCGGTGGGCAAGAAGATCTTATAATACAGCACTGATCTAGTATTTATATCATGTTCCTGTTTTCCCAATTGTGTCAACTCTTTGCTCGACAAAGTGCATCCTTTTTTCCCTTTATCGATTTTCCCTCGGGACTTTCATCAATGTATAATACCTTCCCAATGCCAACTTTATTCATGAGTGATTGATTCAAGCGATTCAATGTCTTGATTTGCTTCGTTTGTTGTTCAGCGTTGAAAAACAAAAGGGAACTGGTGGGACCCATCGTAGAGTGTGGGCCTACATAAGATTAGAAATAGCTATTTCCAAGATAAGTTATTGGATGTAAATTTAGGTTGAAAAACAGACCAGAATTGTAACTTCAGAATTTTCCCAACGTTCAATGTAATCAAAGACGTTTAATGTCGTGCTACACGTCAAATGGACCTAACAGTCAATGCGCTGTATGTTCTGCTTTACTGATAACCTGGCCAATTGAAGATAGAGTTAGGTAGATAAGTTTGTAAAAAGTACTTTTTGACATCAGTTACCCCGTTTAACATTCACGTCGGTTCCTTTCGATGTTTCGGGGTGAACGGTGGGTCCCACGGTTCTAGAGCCTAATCAAATTTGGCGGGCCTCGGTTCTCATGTGGGTCAAACAATAAGAAGCTCGATCCAGTCTTCTATAGAGATCAGTGATTTGTTCCCCCTGTGCGAAAAAACCTGTGGCTAAAAAGCATATTCGATGTCGATATCCATAGCTGGAAGGTGTGGACGATTTGGTATAATTACATAATAGAATACGGATGCGAAATAGAATCCAAGGTCTAGTATTGTGGGACTAGACATTCCTTCTCGAAAAAAATTCAAGCAAGTTAAAACCGAAGTTGCAAGAAGAGGATCGAGGCCGAGGGGCAAATCACTGCTTAAAATCACGAACACTCTCAAGAATAATCACACTTTAATCATAAACTAATCACATTAATAAAACAATCAAATTAATCATAAAGTATAACATTAATTACAAAAGTTACTTAAGACAAATATCAGAATTCTTGCCCACTTTTATCCGGATATGTTATTGAAAAATTCAGTATTAAGAATTTCTCTTTCACACTTTTCGAATCTTTTCATAAACCCGTTGGAAAAATCTGCAAACACACGCTCGAGAACAACAGTCTTTTATAAGTAACCCTGCAATGGAGCAAAAATTAAGGCCTCCTTATGATGCCGGGGTCACTGTAACAACCATTGCTGTTTTTGTTGCCAAAATGCCACTGAAGTTGATCTGACCGAAAACCAGGCCTGATAGCAGTCATTTTTTACCCATTGCTACAGGGGCGGATCCAGACAGTTCCGGATTTCGCAGTTGCAACTGTTACATTCATGGGAAATGATTTATGTCAGATTCTTGTAATTTCCACAGATAAAGTTTGATAATCAAGTTCAGTATTTCTGGAACTTGTAATTTTTCATTCTGGTAAATTTGTCTGGAATGACAGTATAATTTCCCAATAGTGACATCACTTGCAAGGGCAGAGAACAGGGCACATGCATTTGTCTTAATGTCTTTCACAAGGTGTTTAATAACTGTTCACTGTTTTTTCATTCCGGGCTGTTTGCATGCATGTTGCTAGTGCTATTGTTCAGGAAAGATAGCTTTTTTGATGCATATTCAAATTTTTATGATGAAAGTTGATGGCCCACAGAAAAGAGCACATGCATTTGTCTTAATGTCTCGTTCATAGTGATCAACATCTTTTCACCGTTCTTCACTTCAGGCTACTGTCACCCTGCACCCATGATCTAGAAAGCTTATAATATTGATTTAATATCTTGCTTATGCTGCTGCTCAGAAAAATAGCTAGCTCTGTTTTTAGTTGTAAATGTTATTAAACTTTTGCACCTTTTTCGTTTGCAAATCTGCAACGGTCAAATTTTTTTCTGGATCCATCCCTGTGCTGAACTGCTAATTTTTAAATTTTATATAGTATGTTGCAAGATTGTTGACAACGTTTATTAAGCATGAAATTATTTGAAAGCACTTTTGAATCTATGATTCAGTTTCTATAAAATCAAAAATTGATAAAAAAATTAATCACTTTTATCACTGAAAATCAAAATAATCACACACAAAATTGATTTAATCACAAGTCAATCACTAGTGATTATTAATCTCGTACACCAGTTACAAGAGTGATTTGTCCTTCGATCAAAGCCATGCTGAGCGGAGCTAAATTGTGACATCTTTTTTAAAGTGTGTGCAAATTATTAACATTTTACTAATCTTATTAGAATCTTTTAGCAGCATTTATAGACCAATAACACAAAGGGCCGTGACGGGGTAAACCAACCCTAAACCAGACAAAATTTTGGCTAGATCCGCGCCTGATTTTCCTACTAACGGTGTCGTTCATAGGGTAATAGTATACTTCGTAACAAAGAAAGGTCATTGGCCTTGAAGTTCACGCTGATAGACCATGTTTTTCATAATTGTTTGGCTTTTCCCATAAGAACAGGACTGTTTACTTTGAAACTACACGATCTCAGCCTTGCAGAACTGCTTAGGTAGAATAACCACACGAAAACGAGATAGCTGCTATAGCTAACCAGTGTAGTTTCATCATAATACAGTTACATATACTTGTGCTCATGTTACATCAAGCTGTGTAATGAAATATAACAATCATATATTGTTACAAGTTGCAAGATTTTTATACGTGACAATTCATTTTAAGCAAAAGACAGTGTATACAGGGCCGTCACTAGCGGGGAGAAGGGGTGCGAGAGGGGGGGAAGGAGGGCGGCTCCCCTAGAAAATTATTGTCAGCAAATTTTCGAAAAGTAAAGTTTTTCGGATTTTGTTTTCAAAGTTCCGACAGCAATAGCTTTTGCAAACAGTGGCGAAGAGATAGGATAAGGCCGAAAACGTATCACACACAAAGCCTTCAGCAATTCAAAATAGGTACAGGCAGGAATATGGGAGTCGGGGTGGGCAAATGTGCCCCGAAAATTTCAAATGACTCCCTGTCGGCAGCCGGGGTGCTAGAACCTAGCAGACAAGTGTCGGAATATCCAAGGCCATCTAATTCCCACCTAACGTTTGTGGAAGGGTTAATGTTTGCTGAAAAACACTGCACAATGATCCTGGAGGGACTGGAAGCCCCTGTGAGCAGGGCTGACGAGAGGAGGCGTAAGGGGGCAAAGTGCCCCAGGGCTTTGAGATCTAGGAGTCCTCATAAAGTGATCTACTCCATTTTAAGAATGCAATTAATAAAATGTAGCAAACGTAGGCCTAAAAATAGTAAAGCTTTCTAAACGATTGCAAGAAACGATTGCAAGAAATATTTTGAAATGCATTTTAAGATGATCTAAAGGGCGTGGTCTCAAAAATTTATGTTCCTTCCGCTCGCAGGGGGCTTTTTTTGGCTTTGCCCCAAGGCATCCGAAACCTCTCGGCGGTCTTGCCCGTAAAATCTGCTTATACAAACTAAGGTTCTATTAAAACGTGCTGAACTATTTGAAGAAATAAGGGCATCTCATTGCTGAAAACTTAACATTCAAATAGAATCAAAAAGGGTAGTACTCTCAGGTACTCGGGGCAAATAAAATTACAGCGAGAAAATCGAAACGATGATTGACTGACGAGAACATACTCTTTGATGAATAAAATCAACTGCGTCAAAATGCCAGACCCAAAAATTGATACATTTTAGGCCAGGCCCAATTTTGGGCAAATTTGTGACTGGCGCAGTTTTTACAGCAATGACCTAGGTTTGCTTCCATATATATGTAAGTATATAACTGAGTGGAATATGTTTTTGCAACTAGTATGCAATCCATGTAATATGCAATTTGATCCTAGGCCACACTTCTAGGCTAGTATGTTTTTATTTGCTAAAAGCAAATGAAATTTCTTCGAAGAGAAAAAATTCAATACAATCTTGCTTCTTTTTCTATTTATTGATAAGTTGCAATAATTAAGGAACCTGAAAGCTGCCAATCGCAATATTTTACGCTAACCACTCCGCTTGAAGTTCGTAAACCTCAACCTCGCATACTTGAAGAAATTCATTTCTGTTCAAAAAGATACTGACGTAACGACCCATCAGGACCTGTGGACAATCGAACTTTTTTAATTCACCGATTTCCAACCTTCCATCTTTCACACACAGTGCATTGTTTCGTCCGCCATTTGAACTATCATCCCCAACACTGACATCGAATGGATTGATTTTCAATTGACCCCAAGTTGCGCCGTTTTTTATTTGGATACTTGTGACTGCAGCTTGCCTTGTAAGATCCACTTGCCACCAGGGTACTATGTCAAGTTTTGTGAGACTGCAACTAAACACATCCCCAGTTCTGTTACCGTCATTTCCAAAGCTAGCAACAAATTGATGTTCTTCAAAAATATGAGTGGATGATTGCGAGGATAGCTTCTTATAAGCGATATTTTCTTGAACACCTAGAATCAAAGTGAAATTGCTAGGATTTTACTGCAATATCAGAGCTTATATTTAAAGTCAAATCGCTCAAAGGGGCAGGAATCTGCCTTATTAATCAAACACTTTTATAACATTGTTTAATGTAAACACATTTGTGAATTTGTTACATTCTGCGATATTTTACATAACGTGATATAATATACAATGTATGACATGACACAATTTTAAATGAAATTTTCGAGTGACAAAGACTTTTATGCAACTGATTTTATGTTGAATGCTATCGGATGATTTCGATTTTTACTCAGACAACATTGAGTCTTTTAGAGAAAATTTTCGGACTAAAACCTGTCTCAAGAAATTCTCACACAATAAAAGACATGTTTAGTTGCAAATTTGTATGTCAGTCAAGAAAACAAAAGTTTGTACAAAATAAACTTAATTCTGAGACATTTTTATTTGACCAAATAAAAAGTCTTTTAATTTGTTTCTAAAGGATAACTTCATCTCATTTTAGCTACGATATAATTTTTCCAGCTTGGAACAAATCGATAAGTGCAGTTAAGACCGTTTTATTAATTAAGAATACTTTTGAAGAATAATTTGTAGAAATCATTCTTCAAATATTATTTGTCGTCTTGAAATGATCTCAATAAAACATTTGAAGTATGATCTTGGTATGATATCAATAGAAAAATGTTCAAAGGTCAATGAATTTATTCTTGAACCATGTATAATTGGGGTTGCCATACCTATCAATCTTTTTTCAGCCGGGTGTTGTCATGAGATTATTGGCAAATTGATATCCAATCGTTGGCAGGTTACTATTTGTAAGTTGCATATGAGAGCGAAGATAAGTAGTTATTGTTGGACTGTGGTGTATATAGAAGAGATTGAGAAGTTCTTACTGCCCCTCCAGAAAATTCGAAAAAACATAGCCATTTGTATTTTGCCAAATGCATATGAAATGTTTGAGTGCAGGGGAATATAGCAAGAAAGCCGTTTAAGCTACCTGTTTTCAAAAGATGGTCATTGGAAAGATAAAAAAACAACTTAACATTTCAGTTTCATTAAAAATTAAACAGAAATTTAAGAAGGGGACATCTTTCCATGCTTCAACTCAAGAACAATTATATGAAAAAAAGATTAACAAATACCTCTTCTTGCTCGTTTCTTTGACCAAATAATGAGGTTGGATCTTTCGGCCGGGATATCTTGCTCATCTTTAAATTTATAAAAATAGTGGTTCTTAACATCCTTAACAACATAATAACATGTCTTTTCCATGCTGCATTGATGGAAGGTCTTATGAAACATGCTTGTTTTTATTTGTGTTGGGTTGTGCACTTCTTCGAAAACGGATTTGCTTGTACTTTGACTCTCGTCTGATTTGATTGAAGCAAAGTAAAACATTGAAAGAAGCAACGTCAAGAGAATAAAAACTCCCATTTTGGATAATAGATGGACTGAAACTTTCCCTGGAAAGAAAAATTTATTGCTTTTCAATTTGTTTATTAAACAGGTATAATATTGGTTATTTATAATTTTTTATAAATCCGGACACCTGCGCACGCAAATAGCACATTTACGACAATAACAAAATAAAAACTTATTTTCATTTTGTCTGATACCCTAATAAGGACTAAAGGTTTTTTATGTCCAGATGCGGACTTTTATATTTGATCCGCATTCAGTGTACTTTACATTTAGAAAAACTAACTTTTTTACAACTATTTGATTGTTGATATTTAAAAATCTATAACCTAGGTGCAACGATGGCTTAGTGGTTAGGGTCGCGGACGACAGATCCAGGGGTCTGGGTTTCGAGTCCCTGACGTGATCAAACTTTCACCTAGAGTGGGGGAAGTCACCAGGTTTATTTTTCAATCTATTTTACGAATATCAGAAATTTTTTGTAAAGACTCTTGGGAAATAAACTGGTCGAGTGTAAAAGCAAGAGTTGATAAAATATGTACGACCGAGTGTGTTGCTTACCGGGCAGAATGAGTCTGGATTGCAAGATTGGATTCACAAGAGAAGGCCAGACTGGCGAGCAACTCAGATCAAACTGCTCATGAAAAGGCCTATGGCCCTATTCATTATTCTATTTACGCGTCTTTGAAAAGAAGGGTTCAAACTCTCCTGATTTTGGCGGGAGCCTCCCGTTTTGAGAGTTCTTCTCCCGTTCTCCGAGGTGAAGCCTAATCTCCCGCTTTCGGTAATTTTTATTCATCTGTTAAAAATCTAATTTTGAAATATATTGAGCAAATAAAGAAGATCTACATAAGTCTGTGAAGCCTGTCCACGTATCTACCAAATCTTTATTACTTTTCTTTATATTAATCTTTCTTAATATTTGTTCCAGGTTACCAATAAAACCATTAGCAAATAAGGGTAAAATGGTCCTCAGAATTGTTTACCATTGTCAATCATAAGACTGAAGGTGGCGTTCTCTCATCATTTGGACCATTTTGTTTTTGGGCTGTCGGTGTGCCAATCGCAAAGACGACCATAAACAGAGCCCCAACCGTTTTAGAGGGGGTTGAAAAGTATAACAATGGCCTTCTTCCGCCGACTAGCAACACCTTGCTCATGCGAAAAAAGGCAAGCCAGGCAGCCATTAACTAATGCATAAAGAAAAGAAATAGATGGTTAACATGTCTGCAATAACTTGAAAATACCTGGATATGGGTTGGGTGGGCAGGGTCGCAAGATGGTTAAGAAATTGTTTTGAAAGATACCCTAGTCCTTGATGTTACCGGGTTCTTGAGCAAGGGCAAATTTTGTTTAGCCGATCTTGTTTGTTTACGTTTTGCCTATTCAGACGCTGCTGTTTATAGGTTGATTCAGTTCATGGCAATTTGACCTGTTCTAGATGTAGAATATACTATTTTAATAGAAAAACCCAACCCACCAATTTGTAAGCGACGAAAATAAACTTTTTCAGAAATACAAATTATTTCAAATTTGTTTTCGATGAATTTCGAAAAAATCGGTTCAAAAAAGGCTGCAAATCAACATCATAGTATCAGGTGTTTTTCTGGTCATGAGAAATGCGTCGGCAATGCAACAGTAAAAGAATACAGGCAAAAATTTCATTAGCAACGAAAATATGCTTCACTCCTTGTTACAACATGAAGTTTTCTGTTAAATTGCTTTGCGAAAGTGCAAATCTTTCACAAAGCAATTTAATCTTTCGCGTATGAATTACAACAAAGAACATTCAAGTTCAACCTGAGCGTTTAAACCAACGCATTCAGGTGTCTTTGCTATCTAAATCTTCTTTATAGCAGATTTTTCGCATTTTATAAAATCCTATAAAATAATGCAGTAAATATATCGAGATAAAATAAAATTTTGTCTTCAATTGGGATAAAGGGATAAGGGATGTAATGGATAAAGTTATGCTTCATTATTCAAGGTTTATCACATGCACAGGGCTTTAAGAAATTACTTTTGTGGTTTTTAGCATACTTCATGGGCATTTTATTTTAGTGCGGATGGACAAAATTCAAAAACTTCACGGGAATATTTTAAAAACTTCTAAATTTAAATTTTCAGTTGGAGTGTCTGTCTGAACGTAAATAAGACCCCGTTTACACTGTCCCGTGCAAGTTTGGAACCGTGACAAAACTGTCGCGGTTCGCCCTTCCGTTTACACTAGCACTGTGGAACCGTGACGATTTTGCTCTGCTATCCGGTACAGTTTGGACCCTGCTTTGAAAGCGAACGAATTTTGTACCGTCACGGTTCCGTTTTTGAACGGGACAGTGTAAACACCTATCCGAGACGATTTTGTCACGGATTCACAAAGAGGTCTTTTGTACGGCTGTTTGAGGTAATCGAGGCTTTGATTGTGGCGTAACTACGTTGTCAAATTCTGAAGAAAAGGAAATTCTGAAGAAAAGACGACCACAGAAAAGGCTTGTATTGTTTCCCAGTCCAAGCCTTGATTGGACTTTGCAGTTTTGTAGTCTAAAATAACACTGAAAATTAAAGCCACCTTGTCGTTCGTCCAAGTTAAGTTTTTATCGGCCTTCCACTCCATTTTAACTCTCAATAAAAATTCGATTGTTGACTTCGGAGGCAAAATAAAAGCCTTGGTTGACTAAATACAGCTTCTTCTAAACAATGTTCTGCCATTAAATTCTGAAGCCATTACACTGTACCGGTACAGTGTAAACGGAACGGCTAAACGAAACTATTTGGAACCGCGACAGTGTAAACACTTGCGAACCGTAACGGTACAAAATTGTCCCGGGACAGTGTAAACGGGGTCTAAGAAACTTACCTAATCTTCAAAAAAAACTCCTTTGCAAATAGTTAGGTTAGATGATAATATTTGAGATTTGGGTAATACTCTGCAGTAACTTACTAAATTCTATAAATTTTGTAATTACTCTTTCTTTTTAGGCATTTTAATTTTTCGCTTAAAAAGGCCAATTCTAAATCGTAGGCCAAAAAAAAGTTCTCCAGGCAACTTCACTGTGAAAAAGGCCTAGTTGGAAAAATTTGCCAGAAAAAGGCCGATCTGGCAACGATTGAATGAATACGGATAAATTCTGTACAGTAGGGTTAAACAACAGGATCTAAATTATATACTTTTACAACTTGATTCTGAACTGCTAACTTCTCAATTGATGAATTACCGTGTGAAAAAGCAGAGGCGCGCAAAGGATCTGTCATAGCAGCAGTACCTTGGGCGATTCTACCAACCAGCGGCCGCAAGCAATAGTTGTTAATAATTTTCAGTGGCCTGATTATTGGGTTTATAAGAAGACTAATGACATCCATATAATAGCAATTTGATGATCACGGCACCAATGAAAAGGATATCATTTCGATCGAGATTTGAGCTATTAAATACAAGATAAGATACATTCAAGCTAATAAAAATATAGATCAGTAAGCTAACTACCCATATGGAATTATAAGCAGTGATATTGGGCAATGTATCGCTTTATCGAATTCAATTATGGTACTTAAAGGTCTATGACGAAAAAAAAAGAATGCAGCAACATCAACAGAGCATGAAAGGGTAACAACCGCAAGATGAGGAAATGAAGTTATTGATAAGCAACTAGCATAGATGTCAAATTATAAGAACAATATGTAATAAATTTAAGCTAATCAAGATCAGCGATATTTTGATTAAGTCGTAGTGAAGTGAGTTGAGATCATAAAGGATTTGGAATTTAGAATTCGCTTTGATAATATGTGTACTGCAGCCGGTTAGTTTTACTTTATGCAATATTCCATAAACACAAAATCTTGTTATTATCTGTTCAAATCTTGGGAAAGATAAGTATCAAAATTCTGGCAAGTTTTGGAATGCAAAGTTGAATCCCGTTACGTGATGCTTTCAAGTGTGTTAAGGAAATATCTAGTCCAGTTTTGCGAATAATGAAACTGGATGAAATTAGCCAGATTTGATTTGAAGCGAATGAATTCGAATTGGACTTTAAGCTAGCTGAATTAGATTCCTTTGAATTAGACAGTCCGCTTACACACCTTTTCAAATGATAAGAAAAAAAATGCGCTTTGCGCTTCTACCTAATAACTAACATGATAACACTATACAAATGTTGTAAATGCAAAGATTTGAAAGCAATTTCAAGAGTGGATTTTTTTAAACGCTGTGGTTTGGTAACTTATTGTATCCGTTTAGCAGCCGAATCAAAAACACGAACATTTCACTTTACCAATGTTCGTTTACGATTGAAACGAAATAGTTTCAGAATTATTTCTTCATTTGATTGGCATGTTGGTAATGGCACGTTTTGATTTCAGTAAATAAACAAATAAATTTTCTTTGTGACTACTTTACGGCATCCATGGAATTGTGGCATTCGAAAAGCTTTCCGTTATTTCGGATGACATTTTAATTATACTTTAGACAATAAACAACCGATCTCCGATCTTTCAGCACTTATCAACACGGCGACGAGCAAGATTCACAGTATTGAATCATCGTCTCGTTTAAAAGTTTTTGGAACCTCTCCTGCTTGTGTGGTTGAGAATCTTGATAGTATTGGTGATATCGTTACCGAATATGTCAGACAGTGGATTGAGTTACCAATCAGTGGTGCTACGCTAAGCTCTCTTATATTACGCAAATCAAAATATAGCGCCAGCCTCATCCTTCCTTCCACGAAATTCACTCAATATGAATCTCAAACTTCACATAAATCCTTATAGCTTCTCTATGGAAAAAAACCAGCCACCATTCAAACATCTATATGACTAATAAAGAAAACCCATAAGAATTCCTCAATATTGTCCGAAACAAACAAGAAGAAAGAATTCACCATGAATTAAAGTCTTAGGGTTTTATCATTTCATCAATATTTAAATCCTCCAGCCCTTGCCTTGCACTAGCTTCCTCTGGTCGGCTGTCCACCAGAATATTCTTTGAGACCTGATCTTGTCTTAGTTATTAACAATAATATTCTCTACCTTCTTGATCCAACTGTTGGATTTTAAAGCAACGTAAAAGTCAACAGCGGCCGCAAAGCGCAAAAGTATAGGTCTATCGTCTAGACCCCGTTTACACGGGAGAAACGGCCTGGATCGATCCGTAAATTTCGCTTGCGTTTTCACGGGTTCGATCCCAAAACATTATGGGTTCACACGGGATCGATCCCAGATCGGCCCTTAGGGAGGAACGCACATGCGTATTTCTTATGTCATTAGCAACTCGAATTCGAAAAGTGGTAACAAAATGTTTATTTGGAGCGACAAATAAATGGCCCTACTCTTGAAGATCAAGCTGGAGTACAAAACTTCAAAGTTTGCCGATGGCCAGGACTGGGAGGACTAGAAACTTTATAGTGGCCTGCCCAAATGAGGAGGAAGAGAGTGAAGCGTTTCCAACAGGCGACGCTGCCTCAATCTATATCGAGAATAAATCATTCCCATATATTGAAGATTGTTCGCTAAATTTGTCAATAAAGTTGTAAAAAAATTCCTCCATATTGATAGAAAAAAGCTCGAAGAACCATGTTCAAAGCACCTCCAATTGGATAATTTATTAGCCTCGTTTCCTTTCCGTGCCAATTTAGGATCGATCCCAAAAACTGGAACGCTTTCCAAAGGGAAACCAAATTAGCACGGAACCCGAGAGTTCCCGTGTAAACGGAAGGCCGATCCGTACCAGTTTGGGATCGATCCCGGCCTGGATTGATCCCGTGTAAACGGGATCCTTCTCCCTGTCATCATAATATCGTAAAGTTTACTCTGTCAACGTGTCCATCAGCCTTTGGCATTTTTGCTTCTTCTTTTGATTCGCTCTCTTATATGCTAAAAGACCTATAATTTGATAAAACTCTCTAGAGCCGGCTTTTATTAAGACTTATGAACTTATTTTGTAAAAAAACAAACCTTGACCTGATCCCAATTTCATTGACTTCTAACGCGTTCTCACTATAATGTTTAATGTAACTGTCATTTTAAGTCCATTTTGTTACTTGCTATTCGAAAGATCAGTCGCCAATTATACACTGCCTGATAAAAGTGAGGTGTAGAATTGTTTTTCTTTAAAGATATATTGAAGGAAAAGAGTCATAGTAATAAAAATAATAATTATTATTTATCTTTGAACATGGTAGATATACTGGAGGACATAACTATGTTCTTTTATTTCTTGCTAAAGCATTTTCAATTTACAACAAAGTTGCTTATACGTCTATCTGCCCACATTTTCCTCTCTCGCATCAATTGCTTGCGATTCACCGAGTCCTGATCTTGTCTGGAATGCTAACAATAGCATTCTCTATCTTCTTGAGTTAACATTGTACAACAAACATTGCAGACATTGTACAACATACTAAAATGTTGTAAAATATATAAACATTTTCCAGGTAATTGGCAGAGCCCGGTCGACTTTTCATCTAGCAGTTTTAGAATTGATCTACGGTGGAATCCCGATTTAACGAACCCCGGATATAACGAACGTCCAATTATAACGAACTAACTGTCTGGTTCCTTGGATTCTGCCTAACAAACTCTTTACTAATTCTCTCGGTATAACAAACCCCGGATATAACGGACTCTCGATATTGAGCACCAATTTTTGGTTCCCTTCATCATAATTACCTTCGATATAAGGAACTTTTCATGATTTTTTCATCTGTTATTTCTATCTATTTATTTTTTATGTTTATTTATCACTTTATTTTGGGGGAAATCATTATTGTCATCGGCACAACATGCTGATGGTACATTTCAAGCACTGGCTGATAGGCTCAGTGCATTAGATGATAGTTTGATTGCGTCAGAAATTACTGCGAATGAGTATACTGACACCAACAACGAATACCTTGTTACATTTGAGACACTGGCAATGAGCGACGACAAAATTTTATTGAGAGACCCAGATGGCAAAGCAAAAGAAAACAAATAAGAATGTGAAGTAATCAAAGACGTCATTCAGCCGCCAACTAGAAGTGAAGTGATACCAGATTTGCCAATGTTACCAAATGTCTGGTTACCAAATTGTAAGATGACTAACCATTAGTAATATTTGAACTCAGCTTGGTTTTTTTGGAGTAACATGTGCACAGAAGTTTGAGATAGCCTAAACAAGCCCTCCAAAGGCATGTACTGCAAAAATACCTAAACAACGTGTTCTCCCGGCATAACGAATTCCCAATTATAACGAACTATTTTCTTGTTCCCCTCAGAGTTCGTTCTATCGTGATCCCACTGTACATACAAACAGTCTAGGAGTACAAAGGTAATCGAGTTCTCCTTCTCAGACGAAAAATAAATATCAAAATAAGCAAGAACTTACTTAATGATTGTTCGTTTCTTTGCTTCTGCTTCTAGTTGCTGAAGATACCAGCTGTATCAAATAAGTGATGTTTTGTTGTTGCATCCAGGAACCTTTAAAAGATAATCCAGGCTACTGAATACCACTCTTAAGTTCATTGAAACTGATTCAATACTTCCCTGACAACTGCTAAACAGGTGGTTTGTTTCAATATTACAGCAGGGGGGGGGGGCCAAAGAGAATTAAAATGGCAGGAATATTTTTTATCCTAAACAATAATAAGTGTCAAAATGGTACAGATTTCATGGTAATTTAGACATTTATATAAACATTGAAACACGCTGGGCATAGTAAGAACTATCTTCACTGAAAGTATGTAGATGGCTATGTACTCCATTTAGGGACCACGAACTCTTGATCATAATTAATTGTATAGCTTGTCAAAGACCACGCACTCTTGATCATAATTAATATGCTATACTTATTTTCCTTATAATTTGCATTGTAAGTGGATTTGGCCCCAGGTAAGATGCAGGCACACACCCTTCTTTCATACTTGTGGCAAGCGCAATATACTCAACAAAAGTTCAGATCTATCGCAACACACCAACAAATCCAACCCAAAACATGAACTGAATGGAATTTTCAAATTCTTAGTCTCTCTATACTTCAAAGCCAATTCCAGTCCCTCTCCCTTTCAGAGCAAAGTATCAGTCTCTATAATTATCATAAGCCCATTCGAATAATGATTTTGATTTCCTTACTTTTATATTTAAACAATTAAGTCCCCCTTGGCATTCACGCCTTTCCATCACCACCTGAACAAATAAATTTGTTCGCCTCCGTGGAATATTTTATTAAAGCTACAAAATTTTTTGTTTTAGTCATCTTTACGCAATCGGCTGAAGGTGAGAGCACATCCTTCGCTGTCATAGCAAAATTAATTTGCAACATTGATTAGGCCTATCTCATCAGTCTTATGAACGAAACAAGTTTTCAATTCTCCTTAGACTTGATCCCGGCGGCCTCAGTCAGTTGGACAAACGAATTATATGTGAGTTCCGAAAAACTCTGAGAAAGGGTGGTCTGGAAGCTAGAATTCTAGGACATAGAATCTTGAAAACAAGGTTGCTTTTTTAATTAGTCAGAGGAAACACAAAAAGGATTTACTGATATGATGTTACAGATAATTTTTTATGTAAACCAGTGGCATATTGAAGTACAATAAATTTTGCAATAGCATCTAGTCTTGTATATTTTTCCAAACCTAGATAAGAAATTTAGGTCTTTGTTCATGTCTTTGCTAGCATGTACTCATTGCAGGGACACAACTTTTGCATTTCATCATAAAAAGTAAGCAATGTAATGCAGTTATAGTTATGCACCATAAGGGATTGTTGTTAAAATCAAATTTAGTGAACTCTGCTTTTGGTATACCGAGATATAAGTTTAAGAAAAAAATGTTTCTAACATGAATTGGTATCAAAAATTCCTGCTCTAGCTTGAATATTCACAGTGAAAAGAGCTACACAATTTTGGCAAAGTCAAAGAATAGGGAACATTTTACGCAACCCAGAATCAGAGATAGGGGTCCAGTTTCTACTTTCAGAAATGAACACAATATACATTGGACCATTTGACTGTGCCTGCCAAGGATTTTATGCGGACCTTTCAGTGATGCATTTGTTGCTGACGATATGCTAAAGAAATTTTTTCGCGAAACTTGCATCCTCCTTCACAATTAATATTTTTCATCACAGGAGCTTGCAATTTTTGAATCAAGACCAAGTAAAAGTTTAAGGAAATTTCAGTGAATGGTCCTCCAACAACGCCCAGATTCAAGTTATTATACTAGCTTCTAAAGGCAGAATATCTGGCAGTGAAAAAATACACCAAATATATTTTTCAAAAAGGGGCACTTGCTTATACTTTTTGCAAAAGGTGGAGGGCTGTGCCCCCGTGGCCCCATTGCTCTGGCGGCCCTGTAACAAAGTAATCCAGGCTACTGAAAACCACCCTTACGTTCATTGAAACTGATTCAATACTTCCCGGACAATTGCTAAACAGGTGGTTTGTTTAAATGCCTTGGAAGATAAACTTACAGTGACCGACATGCAAAAACTTCCTTGCAAAAGTCTAAAAGAAAGCAAATCAAGCTGGGGCTTTGTCAGGGATGTTGAAAGCAAATCAGAGCAAAACAACTTTTTGTTGCCATACTCTCCAGACTGACTCAAAGCAAAATCAAATTTAATTCTTCAATTTTCTCTGCTTCGTATTTTTTCTTTTCAAAGTACTTGTTAACTGGCATGGTTACCCTAAAACTTATAGGCCAAGTCGAATATTCAAAGTCACAAAGATAAAGAAAGAGAACAATTTTATTTCCCTGAGCACAGTTTTGTCAATATGGGGCATATTTTGTTTTATGAGCTTCAGATGAAGTTCCAGTAGCAAATTGGGCATTGTTATAAAAAATGTTTGTCAAGTGATAGTTCCATGAAGTCCCTTCTGCCGCTATGTTCCCGCATTGCTGGCCACAGTAGAACTGAGTTAGATTCTTAGTGCCCCCTCGTGTCTCAACGTGTCCCCTCGTGTCCTCTCGTGTCCTCTTGTGTCCTCTTGTGTCCTCTTGTGTCCTCTTGTGTCCTCTTGTGTCCTCTCGTGTCCTCTCGTGTCCACTCGTGTCCTCTCGTGTCCTCTCGTGTCCACTCGTGTCCTCTCGTGTCCTCTCGTATCCTCTCGTGTCCTCTCGTGTCCTCTCGTGTCCTTTCGTGTTCCCTAGTTTCCCTCAGTATCCCCAAGTGTCCCCAAGTGCCCCTCGGTCTCCCCAGTGTCCCCTTCTGTCCCCTAGTGTCTCCTAGTGTTACACAATGTTGTCGGAGTTTGATAAACCTGCTGCTCCCTCTGCAAAACGAAGGCCATGGAAAAAATCATTACAGTTTTTAGTCAACTTACAGGCCTACATATCTACATCTTCGGTCGCTTAGCAAAAGACTAAACGCGATGAATATTATTCTAGTAAACTTCGTTGAAGGAAAACCTTTGAACTCATTTTGAGTTTAAAAACATCAACAGTCGCACAGGAGATGCCTTTAGGATATTCATTCAAAACCATAAGATTTTCAAATAACACTGTGCATTCGCGTTGCATTGCGGTGTTTCTTATTTACTACACTACCAAGCTTTCTTGCTTCCTTTTCAACTGCGGGTGATAATTTCTGTATGTATCCTTAAATGGTTATGGAGAAATTGATTGGGAATGACATTGCCATCAAATCTGAAGCAGGTAACCTTTAATAGCAACTTTAAAGATATTGATAGATTAATGTGTATGCTTAAAATCAGCTGCGTGTCGTAGTATTCTATCAATTAAACTCGAAATAAGTTACAATTCGGCCACCGATGTGGTTCTTTAAAAATACAATGCAGCAAAGAATTTGTGGGTTCCTGGTTTGAAGTATTCAATTCAAAATGGAATATTGGAAATGACAATTGTAGGAAATGCAGGGTCATCTTTCTGAAGTAGAAGCAGGGTCATCAAGGGTGCGATGATGCAATTGAAATTATAATTTTCTAAAGCCCTGTCCCTGCCCAAACAAATCAAATCGTTATATATAACGAACTCTGAAGGGAAACAGAAAATAGTTCGTTAGATCGGGAATTCGTTATGCCGGGAGAACACGTTGTTTAGGTTTTTTTCGTAGTACATGCCTAAAAAAACCTTTGGTTGGCTTGTTTAGGTTATCTCAAACTTCTGTACACATGTTACTCCAAAATTCCGCTGTACATACAATCAAAAAAGCCACTTTTGTGTAGACAGAAGGAGTTCGTTTTCTCTCTTGGATTCCAGTGGTAATTTTTTTTAAGCATGCGGCACTGATTAGACAATTATACCGGCCTTGTGTTTGCGTTTTTCTGATTGGCCTATTTCAATAAACAACTCAGTATATATTTTTCATCGTGTTCTTTCGGACCCTTATTCTGATGTTTTATACTCTGACTGAGTTACATCGGACAAAAAAGCTTTAATCATGTTGTGAAATGTTTACTTTTTCCAACACCATTATTCAATAAATACATTAACGCCAATAGTATATATCTACATTTTCAATAGTTATTTACAGATTTTTGTAAACATGTTCTTTCAATTAATGAAGCTAACTTTTGCGAGATGCTTCTTATACAGCCTGAAGTTGAAATTTTCACCTTTCCATTTACTTATAGGCATCTTGGAAATTGGAAGACTTACTGATTCTTTTAACTCATTTGGCAATTTATTCCATAATCTGGAACGCAGAAAATATATACTTTCTAAACTATATGTGGGTTTTCGTATTTATTTCTCATTTCTTAGAAGATAATTAACCTTTCTTTGATATAAATTTTGTTCATAAAGCTTGGGTTGAGATGTAATTTTGTCTTTTAAACTTCAGTCAATAGTAACTGCCGATTTAATATGTCAACAGAACAGACAATGTTTTTTTGTAGTAGTGTTTTGAATCCGAAACCATATCTTTAGATGCGATTCGCAAGGCTTCCTTCTGGATGTGCTACATCTTATTATTCAATTTTCATCCACAGAAGATCCAAACACAAAAGCAATTATCGAATAGGGATAAAAAAAGATCCTCATGTATTGTTGTAGTTTTTCAGAGTCCAGGTATAGTGCGTAAATTTGTTGCATAGATTATATAAGCGTGGTTTAAATGACAGAGCTTAATCTAACTAGTGTCCCGTATCTTACCCTAGTGTTGCCTAGTGTCTCCTAGTGTCACACAATGTTGTCGGAGTTTGATAAATCTGCTGCTCCCTCTGCAAAACGGAAGCCATGGAAAAAATCATTACAGTTTTTAGTCAACTTACAGGCCTACATATCTACATCTTCGGTCGCTTAGCAAAAGACTAAACGCGATGAATATTATTCTAGTAAACTTCGTTGAAGGAAAACCTTTGAACTCATTTTGAGTTTAAAAACATCAACAGTCGCACAGGAGATGCCTTTAGGATATTCATTCAAAACCATAAGATTTTCAAATAACACTGTGCATTCGCGTTGCATTGCGGTGTTTCTTATTTGCTACACTACCAAGCTTTCTTGCTTCCTTTTCAACTGCGGGTGATAATTTCTGTATGTATCCTTAAATGGTTATGGA